GTGTGGCTTTCAAGAACAAGAAGTATTTGAAAGGTAAAAACACAATTTTAAGAGACACCTCATATATCAGAACTAGACTTGGACATGGCATAGATTTGGGAATTATCAGATTGGGAATTTAAAATAACCATGCTAGTGCACTGTGGAAAAATATGGGTAGCACTCAAGAAGGGATGGCTAATGGAGGCAGACATAGAAACTCTGTGAAAGAATTAAAAGCCCATAGTAATGGCTGGAAATTATTCTACATTTGTGGCAAACACCAAATCACAAGTCCGTGATAAACCAAAATAAATACTAAAATAACTACACCTTAGCATATCATTTACGAACTGTAGAGAACCAAACACCAAAAAGAAGCTAGAAGAACAAAACAGCCAAGAGCAGCAGAGGCAGAAATTATGCAGGCCTCCTCTTCAGAAGCTGTACACAGAGAAAGAAGTGGTATTCTTAACGTGATAAAGAAAAACTACCGACCTGGAATTCCATATCTGGTGAAGTTATCCTTCAGAGGTGAAGAAGACCATTTTCCTGAAAACAAAACTTGAAGAAATTCGTGGCCAGTAGTCCTATGTGCAATTAATGTTAAACTCATTAAAACAGGGCAGGAGCACGCAGCTACATAAGGTAAAGAAAAAGTTTAGAGGAAGGAAAATTAGGGCACAGTGGACTCTTCCATATTTCTTACTCCTTACTGGTCTCATACATAACAATCTTCTCTAAGTCCTTGCAATTCGTATTTCACGATTATAGCTTCTGGGTAGGTAATGAATGACAGTCATGTCGTAAGGATGAAACCAAGGAATTGGGAATGGTGCTTTGGCTACTGTGAAGTAGTACAGTACTATTTGAAGGTGGTCTTGGGTTATAAATATGTATTTTCAAACAAACTCAGGGAAACTTCTAACAAAAGTATAAAAATAAGAATTATAATTGATATGCCAAGAGAAGAGAAAAATGAGATCACATAAAAGTCAGAGAAGATAAAAAAGGAGTGTAGACAAAAAGATGCAGGTTAAAAATAAAGGGGTAGAAAGGCTGTACCACCCTAACACTAATCAAAAAAAAGTTAGTGGTAGATGGAACCAGGGTTGGACCAGGTCCCTTGGAGATTCAGGAGTACAGAGAGGCTCCCCCGGGAGGTAACAGTGGAACCTGAGGCCCCAGGAGTGCAGGGGAGCCAGTAGAGAGGTCAGACAGGGCGGGGTTCCCGAGTACTACACTATAGTACTTCGAGGACTGGGGACAGAAAGGCCCGTTGGTGGCCAAGGGAGCCGAGAAGAGGATGGAGAAGCTGCAGAGCCTCCTGGGCCTCTGCCTGACTCGAGGGCCAGGCCAAGCTTTGAGCCCATCATGAGAAGCTCTTTGCTGTCCTAGGACCGTGAGGGTGTCCTCATGGCTTCTTGCAGAGGCTGCATGGTTTTAGCTGGACCATTTCAGGCTCTCAACCCTGCTGGGTTGGTGTATGATGAGGCAGAGGGAAAGGCAGCCCCAGGGTCTCTGCCAAGCCAGGGTTCCCTCTTCCCATGAACACACCAGATCGCTTAGCATGTGTGTGAGCCTCTGCTCTGACTCTGCTCGGCCCCATCTGTGTGTTTGTCTGTCTTGGGGTCTCCCTTGATAGTGTGCCCTGAAGGCGGGTAATGGAAGTGGTCAGTATATGTTTTTTTCATAGGCATTTGGTCACCTGCTCCGTATCTGTTTTTTAAAAAGTCTGCTAGAATTTTGTTTGGATTTGTGTTTGAATGTATAGCTCAATTTCATAAGAGTTGTCATCTAATAATATTGAAGCTTCAAATTTCTGAAATTTGTAAATCTTTGCATTTATTTGTCCTTTTTTTTTTTTTTTTCTTTTATAATACTTAAGATTGAGCCCAGGGCCTTCACACTGAACTCTAGATCGCCGCTTTTTAAAAAAATATTTTGAGAGATTTTTATAAGTTGTTAAATTACCTAGGCTGGACTCAAATTTGAAATCCTCCTGCATGAACTTCCCAGAGCGCCAAGATTACAGATGTGCACTACTGCACTTGGCTTATTCAGGTTGTCTTTCATTTTATTCAGTACTGAATGATAGTTTTGAGTATAGATGTCTTGCACATCTTTTGTCAAATTTTAAATTTTTGATGGTATTTTCAATAACATTGTTAAAATGCCATTTTCCAGTTGTCAGCTGCTAACATTCAGAAATATATAAATATGTTTATATTATATAACTAATAATTACAATACAATGTGTAAATATAATTGTATACAATATTTACACTATATCTAAATGTAGTATAATTGTTTTGAGAGGCATATTATATCCTGTGACTTAACAATAATTTACTTATTCTAAACTAATCTCTTTGGATTTTTTATAAGCAAAATCGTGTTATCTACAAATCAAAATTATTTCATTTCATCCTCATCTCTGTTTCCTTTTTTTCTTTCTTTCTCTTGTTTTTCTTTATTGAAATGCCCGTGACCTTAAAAAAAAAAAGAATAGATGAATGTAGATATCCTTGCCTATTCAAATCTCCAGGAGGAAACATTTACTATTTCATCATTAATTATTTTTTCCTTTCAGATATTAAGTTGAGACAGTTCTTCATTATTCCAGTTTTCTGTGGTTTACTCATTTGTTTAATCATGATTGAGGGTAAAATTTTATGTAATACTTTTGAGTTTATTAAGAAGGTCATATAATTCTTTTCCTTTATTCTATTAATGTGATAGATTACATTGATGGATTCATGAATATTAACATGTTCAGGACAGAGCCATAATTCGTGTGCCTCGCTGCCAGGCGGTATGACCCATTGTCGGTACCTGCACGACTGTCCCCTCAGGTGGCACAGTCACACATGGGAAAGTCATGCATGGGGAAATCATACCATTCCACTGCAACACACCAGTGGGAACATGTTAAACCCACTCAGGTTCTTCTAGCCAGTCCTACTCAGTCAAGACACATTGTCCTTTGGTGCATTGCTAGATTTAATTTTGCTTTTCAGCTATTAAAGCACTTTTGAATGGTTGTTAAGGAATACTGGTCACCAGTTTTCTTACCAGGTCTGTCCCAGTGGGCACACAACCTTCCCTCACTACTATGTCCCAGTCCCCTCTTCCATTGCTGCCTATAGAAAAGGGGTTTCTGGGAGAAGGGTGTAGACCTAGGCTGCAGACCCGTTCATTAATTTAAATTATGTGAAATATTATTGACTTTGGCTCACTTACCAGATGTTTGTGTCCCAGCTTATGCTCGGCACGTTGCTGTTCACTGAAACACCCGCTGCAAGTCCAGTCACCTCTCAGTGGTCTTCTCACTGTTTCTCCTGTGTCCAGCCTCTGGAACTGGGAGGCCACAGGACATTGTCCTTGAACTCTTCTTTTACCCTTTGCAGACATCAGACAGTCTTGTGGCTAGAAATCTCATCAGCAGTTGAGCACCTCTTCCATGTATTTGCCTACTGTAGGCCTCCCCTGACTTGTAGCTTGGTTTAGCCACAGCCTGCTCATCTATCATGGCGATGCCTACAGGCCTGTCTCAGAGTGCACTGGGAACGACCCTTCTCAGCCTCTGTGTGTCAGGGAAAGGTAGTCCTCACCTTCAGGCTGCCAGGCCAGAAGTCACAGCACCATCTCTGATGACAGTCTCTCTTTCCCAATTCATCCGCCATCCTCACAAACTCTGTCAGCCTACCTTCAGAACACGATCTGTCCAGAAAGCCCCCAGCTCACCCACATCTGCGGCCATTCCCTTCCAGGCTGCTGTCTGTCTCTTGCTGGAGTGTTCATTACTTCCCCAGGTGATTTTGCCTTTGCAGCTTTCCCAACATAGTGGCTGGACCAGGGCCTTTAAAATACAGGTTAAATTGGGTGCTGCATTACCATGAAGCCCTTCAGAAAGGCCTTCAACTACTCAGAGCAGAAATCAAGAGACCCTTGTTTCCTGTCTCCTTAATGCCCTCTTCCTCCTCCTCAATTTCAGTGGCTCCCTTGCTGCTCCTGGAAACACTGTCCTGTTCTACCATGGGCCCGCACATTTCCTTCCCCCCAGAATGCCTGTCAGGTGATCTAGCTATGGCCCATCTCCACTTCCTGTGGATCCGAACTAAAATGTCACCTTCTCTTCCCACCCATCCTGTCCATTTGACCGAATTCAGAAATACCAAAAAAAAGGCCTATTGCTTTTCTCTGCTTTTTCACCTTAACACTTTTAATATACAACATACATACTTTATGCATTTTCCTAGCTGAAATCTATAGTAAATTATAAACTCAGTGAAATCGGGGACTTTGTATCATTCCCTGTTGTGCTCATTGAATAGAACAGTTATCTGTGTAATAAATGTTTTGTGAATAAATACGAAAGTGAAAGAATGAATGAATATGAGTCACCCTATTGCCTGTTCTTGTAGGGCTCACAAGCTCCATATTAGATGGATGAGAGGGCGGAAGAGAGAGAGATCCATGAGAGACAGGCCTGAGGACTTTGAGGGTTGCTCCTGGGGTGGACATGGGTCCAGCAGAGGAAATCCAGGTTTCTAACTATTAAAGAAGTAGGGGAACAAAGATCAGGCAGTAAGGTGGCGGCACAGGGGAAGTGAAGAAGAATGAGACCTACAGATAGCACCGTGCAGTTAGAGACAACAATGACCATTGTGTCCTTTACTCATTACACACCTTGGATCCATGGCAGGAGAATTACCAATTCTACCTTGTCCCATGTGGAATAATCTATGCAATGTAGCCACTTAGGGTGGCACCATTTTTAGAAATGACAACACAGAAAAGACAAAAACTCTTGATGACAATTTGCCATGTGAAGTTTTGCTGGAGAGCTCCTGGCACAGGCTTCTGGAGCTACTGTCTCAGACTGTGTCCCATGACAGCCAGTATCTGTCTTGTGGGTGACAGCCTCCATGTCCACTCCAGGTCTCATCTGTCCTCCTCTTTGGTTGGACTCCTACCATACAGTTGCTGAAAACTGCTTTTCCACTCTGAATCCCCAGGTGCCGTTTTTTGGGCCTCTGTTTGACGGAGCCATCGTCAGTGGGAAGCTGCTGCCGAGCCTCATCTGTGCCACCTGCATCAATGCCAGCCGGGCTGTGAAGTGCCTCATCCCACTCTACCAGAGCTTGTATCTTTTTGCTTTGCTTGTGCGGCCCCCCAGTCCCTCTCAGCACCCAGATCAGGGCAATGTTTGCGGAGAGGTAAGTAGTAGAACTCTTTGTCAGTCGGTGTTGGAAACAGCAGTGTGATTTCCATACCACTCATTAATCCTTGCTAAATGTAATAGTTGTGTGCTGCATCAGATTAGGAAGAGTTTGCGGTCATACTTTACTCCTAGAAGTGGTGTCAGAAAAGCTGTGACCCTCAGGGGCTCCTGGCTCCTTTGGCATCTCTCCCCTCTCCCCAAGCGCAGGCTATTCTCATTCTCCCTGGGTGTCGCAGACCACTGTTTGGGACAGATGCAAGCAAAATGCAACATGCTTTTGCAGGTGCCTCCAGGCAGCCAAAAGTAAATTAGCTGACTCTCCTAAACCAAAGGGTGTGGCAGGTACCACCTAAGGAGTGTGGTAAGGATGTGAGGAGGCAGCAAAGGGAGCTGCAGTGTCCTGTGTCCGGCTGAGAGGCAGGGAGGCAGCCCAGATGAAGTGTGTTTGGATTCCAAAAGTCACTTTGCAACTGTTCCAGTTCATTAACATCTTTTCCTCTAGTTCATTATCTTGTCTCTAAAAGCAGAAGAAATTTTGCTTTTCTAATTTTTTCTCAAACATTAATTGGCATGTTGTAATCCTTAAATCTGAGCATGAATCTAATTATAAGAAAAAGATTAAGGTGAGTGGCTTCATAAAATTGCACAAAAAAATCTGATTTCCTAATAAAACTTAGTCTCTTTGTTCCTGATTGGTACTGAAAATGATTTAAAAAAAAAAAAAAAGCGCACTGTATTTGACCTCTCTCTGTAGACTTCTCCCAGCCTAATCGTAAGTGATGGGTTGCTGGCGGGTGTAGGGTGGATGAGAAATAACACATGTGAGCAGATACAGTTTGTGAAAAATACCTTTCATTAAAACCCTGGTCACTTCATTGACTGATTCGGCCTTTAGATTAAAAAAATACATATGCCATGTGGCAACTGAGAATTATCATAGAAATTAGTGGTAGAAAAGAGCTATTAGGTCCCATCTGGTCCCTCCCCCGGGGCCCGGCAGCCGTGTTCCCTCCAGCGTTCCCTCCTGCTTTGTCCAGGCCGTGGCAAGGTTGGGGGACAGGGCCTGCACAGTGCCAGCCACAGTTCTCTTGGCTTCATCTCTGGGCTGGTGTCAGCTCGGCTTCAGCACATGGTTTTTGTCTCCCGTGATGTTAGAAAGAGCCAGACCTCTCCAGCAGCTTGTGCATCAGCTATAATGCCAGGGACCCTCGTCATCACCTCTGATGGGTCAACGCACAAATTCGTTTGCAAATATGAAAATTCCATTGATTTCATCATGTGTTCTCTGCTTGCCAGTCTTCTCATTATGAGACATGTGCCACGTTCTTCTGCTGAATCCTGCTTTCACCAATGAGAATCCATGTGTGCCATGGGAGCCGTGGGGTTAAGGGGAAGCATTAGTTTAAAATATTTTTTTAAAATTCAAAGGTTAGCATTCAACATCACTTGAAAACTTTTCCCAAGAGCCCTGGCAGGACCAGTGTGCGCATCAGCTAGGGCTGCTGGTGTCAACATGAGTCAGGACGCACCACGCTTGGAAGTAACTCGTAAGACAGCTCCCTTGGCACCTCGGAGACCACTGGGTACAGAAGGGAGGGAGGAAACCAAGTAACAAAGCCTGCCCTCCTGGTCATTGTAAAATTTTGTTGTCTAGTACTTTGAGTAAATTCAGTTAGTTGGTATTAAATAAATTATTTTTAAAAAGAAATAAATATTATACGTGACTTTTATAGACATAAGTAATAGGGAAATTTTTGCAACCTTTTAACTTCTCTCTTCTTGCTGTCTGCAGAAAGATTAAGGAGAAACAATTAAGAAAAATTAGTTTTTGTGATTTTATTCTTTTAAAACATGTACTAATTTTTTTTCTGGTTTTGTTTTGTTTTGAGGCAGGGTTTCACTATATGGTTCTCACTGGGCTTGAACTCACTTTGTAGCCTAGGCTGGCCTCGAACTCTCATGGAGCCTCCTGCTCCATGGAGGGGCCAGATGGGACCTAATAGCTCTTTCCTACCACTAATTTCTATGATAATTCTCAGTTGCCACATGGCATATGTATTTTTTTAATCTAAAGGCTGAATCAGTCAATCCTGAATGTTGGGATTACAGGCATGCACCATCACACCTGGCTCAAGAAAGTATACTAATTTTTAAAGCTCCACACATGTCCCTGGCTAGGATATTCCTAATGAGATGCTCCTTTGCTGTCTCATTCAAACATTGAGGCCACCCCTGCTATGGCCTATGTGAGTGTGCCTTGGCTTACGTTCAGAATTGCTGCTTTAGTGACACATCTTGAGTATGACACTACAAATGTCGAGCAGTCCACAAGGCCCTGATTCTTGGTGTCTCATTACAGTGTGCATTTGCTAAACACGGTTCCTGTGAACAGCCTGTCTGTTCAGGTCAGAATGAGGAGCAGGGAAGGGAGGGTGGGTCCTAGACCTTGGCTCTCACACAGAGGTCAAGGAAATAGTTCTATGAAGGGAGAACTGGAAAATTGAGGGGAACAAGGGTCAGAGGCAGGGAGTAAGGGGGGCCTCTCTGAGGAGAGGGCACTTAGGCAAAGGCTGGATGCTAGAGAAGAGCTGTCCTCCCAGGGAGGAGGCGCCACCCCAGCAGTGGGCACAGAACTGGTGTTCTGGAACAGCACGCAGGTGTGCTGGAGAGGCTGGGGAGCAGCCTAAGCCCATCCGTGCCTGCAGTGGACCTGAAGGCAGCTTAGACAGAGGTGCCAAGGAAGTCTCCTGGCTCTCCTTCTGCACAGCCGGGACGCTCGTTCATTAGCAGAACACTGTAGAGTGAATGCCTGGGCTACCTGCTGGAGGGGCAGCAGGTGGGGAGAGCACGCAGGGCTGGGGAAAAGTTTGAATAGTTTTATCACTCTTGCACGATGGCCGTGTAATGTACACATCTGAGGACTTTTCACTCACATGTGGAATCCCAGAAGGGACGCCATCCGCGCAGCTCTTTGTGCCAGTATGGTTTGTTCTTAGCACACGAGTGGAATTTCTCCACAGAGCCAGCTTCCTCTGTGCACACCACACTGTCATGCAGTGCTGAGTGAGAAAGGAGACCCCGGTCACCCTGCAGTCCCTGTACCCCTGTGTTATGACTGTCACAGAAGTAGCCAACTGTCACAGGAGTGACACAGCAAGAAAAAGTTGTATAGAGACCCTAGATATTTCTCCTGGCACTGTTACTTGTTTTCTGCATCCAAAGCATGGATGCTTTTCTGCCCAGCAGGAAAGCATGACCACAAGAGCCAGCTCCCCGCTAAAAGTGCCGTCCTGGGGGAGCCCTGCTGCTCCCTACACCCCACTGTGCCCTTGGTGTTGTCCCTCAGCAAGCCCAGAAGGCTGGTGATCAGGGCCCTTAAGAAAATAAGTTGTTGCTTGCTCTTTGCATACCACCATTCCAGAAGAATGGGGCCCAAAGCCCAAGAAATAGCTGCTTTTACTGTCCGCTTGAGACACTAGCCATGGCCAAGGTGCTGACAAGGAAAGGGAAATTTAGCTGGCAATCCAGGCCATTCTGCCCTGGCAGCCCTGATCACCGTTTTGTTGCTGACACATCACACCTTGGTACTCGGCTGCTTTGAAACTCACCCAGTTTGGTACTTGACCATTTTGTCCCAGTTACTGTCATTTGCTGAGAACCTGAAGTGTAGGCTAGAACATGTTAGGTCACTGGCCTTGGGGCTCCTCCCCTTTCCAAGCCAAAATAGTTTCTTTGGTACTCAGAGTTTGGGCCAGATCCAGTTCATAATAGGTAGCGAAGTGCCACCATATTTGGATTACAACTGTTAGGCAAAGAACACAGCCAAGCCACTCCTTTCTTCTCAAGGCCACTCATTTCTTGAGTGTCAGAGTGATGTCCTGTAAGCAGAGAATCTGTCCTGTGGTTGACACTGTCAATGAACCTGAGCTGGGAGTATTTGCGTTTTTGTATCACACATAGCCAGACGTTGAATCTGGTGATGGGTGAAGACAAGGCCGGAGGAGCTGCTTTGGGACAGTGCTGTCCTTCCTGTCCCTTCAGGGAGGGACCAACAAGCAGCAGCCTTCAAGTGGGGTCAGCTAGGAGTCACCCTCCCAGAAGACTTCGCTAGATGTAGAAATGGACACAGCTAAGTATGAGTTTTATTCAGTAATGTTCAAGGGAATAGTTTCTGACTGACCTGAGGATTTGGGCAGAACAAATTTGCCTTTGGGGCCCTCCTCTTCCTCCTACTCCTCCTGTAACTGTAAACTCAGTTTAGAATCAGTATGAAGAGGTTCTTATTTGGGATTCTCTTGACTGACTCCTCAAATGCCTGGAACTCTGTGGCAGAAGTACATAGAAGGCTAAAAAATACCATTATGTGATCAAAACAGAAAAGTGAGCACAGTAGGGCTGTTTTTGAACAGTACCCTCCTCCATGGGCTCAGTCAGGCCTGCCAAGGGACTCTTCCTCCTGTACCCCCTGCTCTCCAAGTGACAGGGCTGCCCCTCACCTGCCATCTGCTGGCACAGCCCTCCTGGTGGCTGAGGCCTCCACCTGTGGGAGAGTGCTGCTGTCAGGATGCCTGCCACGTACCATGTTCACGGCTCCCCAGCCAGTTGAGGCTTCTAAAAGGAGACCCTGCTTGGCTGATGAAGTTTCCAGGGCCGTCAGGCAGGGCTTTCATGCTCCTTGTCAGAGAACTCGTTTCAGGAAAGGGTTGCTTGCTGCACAATAAATATGCAGCACGCCCATTAGGGGAGCTTACCCTGAATCAGACAGATGGTGGCTTTTTAGAATAAGCGTCCACTTGAGTAGAACAATAGTCTCGGTGGCATTCACCACCTCCACTCTCTGGAACTGTCGGCATCTGACGGGCAGCCGAGCTGCCTGAGGGAAAGTGGTCTGATACCTCATTCTCCTACAAGAGAGACTTGGG